AAACCAGTGGTTTATGTGGTGTCCTATCTGAAATGGAAGGCTAAGTATAGTTTTTTTCATCCCAATAGTGTGACTTCAACTCAACTAAACAGTGAACTCAGCAGGTGTTGTGTTTATTAAACGAAAGCCTGTTCTGATAAACCATGTGATTAATCCACACCTATGAAAGTATGGGGCCTTATAAACACACACACACACACACACACACACACACACACACACACACACACACACACACACACACACACACACACACACACACACACACCACCAGTTTCATCATCCATTTAAAGTTGCAGTGGGATTAAATCATTAGAGAGCTTTGACAGACTGGTTCTGAGGTCTGGATTGTGCCCCCTCTGTAAGGGTAAGGGCTTTTTATATCAGGGGGTATTTGCCTACTTTAACCCTGGTAAACCCTGTCACACATAACATGCCTCCCTGACTTTCTACCCTAGCAAATACATTTTTTTTTCAAATTAATATATCTCTGAAAGGTCAAATGTGACAGAACAGGCAGCTGGAATAGTGCATATATTTTAAGCATTGTTCCACATAATGATGAAGACTACTTTATCCCATACATATGGAGTATTTCCAGCATGCACTGGAAATGCAACAGGTCATTGTTACCTGAAGCAGCAGCAGGAGCCCGACCAATGAAATTCCTTATAATAAAGTTTGAAATCAGATGGCAGTGTACGTCCTCAATATTGATTCACCGTCTGCTGATGTCTCTTCAGAAAAAACACAAGTCGTACATCAGCATGGCACAACTATCTCTCCAAAAGTTGAACTCAACGTCCCTCTGGAGACAAAAACGATATTCTTTGGTATTCAGAAGTTCTTCACCATAATAAACGCCTCTCAAGTCTGCGCGTGGACATGGGCATGACATCCACGGAGTGCAGCCACGCGGCGCAGCGCAACACAACAGGGCGCAGGCGGGGGAGGAATGTCTGCTGTCCCCCTGTGGCGGCCTGGGCCCAATTAAATGTCTCGGATGACATGACTTTAGCTCGCAAAAATGCCCATAGCTGCAGCACTGTTTTGAGTGACACGGTCATGCCGCTGGGATGGTCTTGAGCTTTGTAATAGCTTTGCAATGAGACAGTTGCTCAGAATGAACATCTCATGCTATAAAAGCTCTGGCGGAAGAAAATAGAGCAAGAGTGTTTTTCTTTTGGGGGGAGGGATGGTGTTGGCAATGAAGTGCAAGTCCACCTTTACGCAGGTGATAGGCCTATACTTTGTTTATATAAGACGAGTTCCTTGCAATTTAAAGCTACATCAAAAATAAATTGTTTGACTTAAAGGCAGGGGGCACTACTCGGAATTTTCACACATGGTCAGTTTACTAAATGTGGCTCTGTAGGAGCTTTCTTAAGTCAATGAAAACATAACCCTAATGATGTCATTATTCAACAAAAAAGAAAAAAAAAATATCAACCTTCTGTTTTTAGACAGAAAGACATATGGTGCTTTCCAATACCAATACTATTTAGTGTCCCATGTTATACTTTATGTAAAATTCAGTATGCCAAATGCTGATTTAGTTCTGGGTGTATTGCTTTTACCTGGTATTGATTCGTTTTTCAATTTATATTTAATCCAAACATAAAACTTGAGATATGGGCTTCACAATGTACCCTTCATCTGTTTTGTTTATAGGCTGAACGTGCATGACAAGCATTCACAATAGGCCAAACAAATCATAATACTCACCTGACCTTAAGCCTTCTGAGTATGGCTTAAAAAAAAAAAAGATTCAGTCCTGTAGTTTTCTCACATTGTTACGTCTCAGGGTTTCCTCATATTCTGATTAAATGCAACCCTAACCCTAACCCTGAAGTTTTATATGAGGCCAGTTCACCTACACACCACCAGATGAGAGCATTGCCCCTGAATTATATCAGTAGGAGAGAAAGAGAAACCCAGAGAGACAAACAGAGAGAGAGATAAATGATGCTCTGCTCCTTTCAAAGACCTCCTCCTCGTTTGTCTTCATTGACAGGCTGTTGACACAGACCTGCCTTATCAGCCCCAGAGACTGTTCATCTCATTGTGATGGATGGGACCCACTCAAACGTCTGCCACTCTTTTACCTTAGAGACATAGTTTGGATTGAAGTATTCTTCATGTACAGTTGAGAGCCTTGAGTAGTGATACTTAAAACCATACTTGACAGGTTTTATATGAAAGGTATAAGATATGAGGCACAAGTCTGAAGTGCTTCCTAATGTTTTTCTATAATGCAGTTTACAGAACATATTGTCTAAAAGTAGCCATTCTGAGTTTTCTGTGCTTTATTGACCTTTCCTGGACGCTCATTTTGGACATGTTTAAATGTCAACAACAAGCTCTTTGAACTGTCTCTTCAATATTTCTCTAGAATTTTCTCTCAATCTCTTTCTGATAATCTGTGCAAGAGGTATATAAATTATAGATCATAATCTCTGACCTTCTTACTGACGGCACAAACAGACAGATGCCACAATCCCTTTATCTCTCTCTATTTCTTTTTCACCTCTTCCACTAACACTAAGGTTGGGGGCCCTGCGTTTCACGATCATTAAGACAAACAAACGTTTCTGTGGGAGGAACTAACAGAGACAAAAAGACAGGTGAAGACAGAAATATTGTCTAACTGCACAACATTGTTCAGGTGAGGTCATCTGATGTTAGTAAAAAAGGGGAGCGTCCTGCTCAGCAGTGCAGATTGCAAAACCAGAAAAGTAATCCACGGCTTCCACGGATTAGATAATGATAAAAAAAAATACTGCCTTTGGTTTTGATTAAGAATTATGGGGTTAGGAGATTAGAGCCAAACACACACTATGACATTGGACTGAGGGAGCCCAATCCCAGAATTAATCTGAATACCAAAAAGGAGAAAACTCATTACATGGAGAGATTAAGAAAACTCGGTTAAATTCTCTCAGGACGCATGTAAACCAGCGCACACCATTTACCTAGAGCAGTGCTTCTCAAAGTGTGGTCCGCGGACTACTGGTGGTCCGTGAGCGCCCCCTAGTGGTCCGTGAGTATGTTGGTAAAATTTCACATTTGAAATAAATAAATACATGTAAATTCCAAACTCTCGCGGGAATATCTCCACAATGGAGTGAGCTTAAGTTTCACTTTCAATTGCATAATATAGCCCAGCGCAACACCTTTGTCACACATGTTGCCATTTGTTTGTACCATTTTCAGGCGATTTGTAATCTGTTCTAGAAAAGCGATGTGTTTTTGGATAATTGTGGAGTTAAGTGGTCCTTGGTATGAAAAAGTTTGAGAAACACTGACCTAGAGAAATGTCAAAACAAAACCTCTGGCTCAAGTCATTTATAAAGAATTTGGATCCATGTGTTGCTCTTTCTTGTTGGAAATGTCATTGCATTAGCTGGTAAATGCTAGGTCAGTTTTGAGTGTCCTGACATTATTGATAATGAATTGTATTAAGCGCGTAGGGTGCTTCAATAACATTTGATCTATTCCACACTATTTGGCAGTATGAGTTGTTTGTATTTCTTTCTTGATGCTGATTGTACTGATGGTAGTGTTTCAAGGAAAAGGCAGGAACACTGAAATGCTGACTTCAATAAGCTTTTCCAAAAAAAACACAGTAGTACACTTTGAGTCCAGTGACAGAGTACAAGGCAGGTACACACTCAGACGAGGAAGTAGATGCTGATAGAGAAAAAATATTAAAAGGGGTTTGGCATGATGTGCCAGAGAGAGAACGCTCTCTGACCTTCCTCTTCTTTCACTGATTAAATGATTTTACCCTAAACTCAGTTTACAGAAGACAGAAACAATCCCGATGATATGGAGGAGATCTTAATGTAGCATTCAGATCAGAACACAATGCAAATGAGGAAGATGTACAGGACTTGTCAAGGAAAATTGATTCCTTTCTGTATTCATGCTGCAGAAAGGTAATTGTGCTCCAGCTGTTGAGAACATATCCATCCTTCATTCTGGTTTGAATTTGTAATAAAAAAAGAAGCAAACTTTGATTTGTGTGTAGGCAGATTGGATTTGTGAATCACATCAAACAAATTTAAATTAGGTTTTCATGAAACATATTTTCAGCAGCTCTACATTCAACAGTATGGAACCCACTTGTTCTTCCAAAATAAGGTTATTAATTTATGCCCATGTTTCCTAATCGCATCATAAATTATAATGAGCTTCAAATATTCCGGTAGGTAAACATGTACAGTAAGCATGTGGAGTACTTAGAGAGAAGCTTTTCACTTTATAAATGCACACTTCTACTGAGATTCAATTCTGGGAGACGAAATCTCCCCTAAGGCTTTCAAATGTCTACGACTGCAGACAGAGAAAAATATTGAAAAATAAACTATTACTCCTAGGGGAACCAAAAAAAAATGTCTTTGCCCTTCTAAGAATTTCACACATTGAAAAAGCTGCTTCTCATTCCACCTTTCCTTCTGCCCGTATTACAATCTTTCTCTGATGCAAAGAGGCCAATATTTCATGATCACAAGCATTTGACGGGCTGCGTGTTTGTGCGAGTATGTGTTCGGAATGGGGATTTGCTGTCTGCGATGTCGGTGCTTGAAGGGCATAAAACAGCAGGTGTGTTCCTTAGTTTCCTTAGAGGTCCTTATCTTTTTTCACTGGCCAGGGTTAGCTCAGCAATAGGCTCTGAAGATACTCTGCTGCCTGCCAGTAGGCACACAAGAGACACTATCACAAACTGCTGCCAAGCATAAACAACAAGCATCAGTCATTGGTTTAAAAAATTCAAAAATCCTTTTACTCTGAAAGTCAGTGAAGTTTTCATACATTTACACAACAGGAGTATCTATAACGTTTGCAGTGAACTACAGCCATTAGGGAACAGAAATTTTGTTTTTTTAAACTATGAGGTCTCGTTGTACTCGCCCAACATTATTAATGTTGATACAAGGCCAAGACTTTGTTAACTAAATCTACAGTAGAATACTTAATGAATTATCCAGACACAGATGTGAAGAGGAAACAACTTTATATCATTCTCTGGCGAACAAATAAAAGAGTGGAGAGCGATCAGTTATCAGTCTCTGATCCATTTCCATCCGTTAGCTTATCCGAGGCTCACGTGCTGGAGTCCCGCCTCGCTCCTTCTCTCTTGGTGCGTTTGGGTTGACAGAGGACACAAACTGTCCTGGCTCCGCTCTGGGCTCTTGACCTCCTCCGGACGCCCTTGTAACACTGCAGGGAGGTTCCCAACTCCTCCATCAGGGCGCTAAAAGATACGCACTGCCAAAGAGAACAATAGTTAAAGGCCTGGGTTAAAACAACTTTAAAGCTGATTTCCATTTAAAGGTCCCCTATCATACTGTTTTTCATCAATTATTATAGGTCTCAGATATATACAAAACATGTCTCTGAAGTGTTTTGCTCGAAATACCAAACAGATCATTGCAGCATTACCCATAATCCCCTCTGTTTCAGCCCTGTTTCCAAAGTGCTAATTCTCTGTCTGTTACTTTAGATGAAAAGAAGGAGCCCCTCCCCATGCCCCCTGAGAGACATTTGGTTAAAAAGAACACAATGGACCTCTAGGAGGAGACTCAGGTGATAAGGTGGGGGTGGGGGTTACATTGGTTGGTGATTGGCTAATGGTTACACAAGCCAAAACATCATTATGACATCATAAAGTGGCCAAAATCTGATCAGCTCATTTTCAGACAGGTTTTTATATAAATGGATCAGGACAAAAAGGGAGGGGGTATTTTTCCTGAAACTTTCGGAATCTCTTAGCGTTGAAGGGACACATATTTATGTATAAAAGACATGAAAAAGTGGATTTTGCGCAATAGGTGACCTTTAAAGCCGATTTCCAATAAAGTAAATGTGACCTTTGTGAACTTTGGCTGTTATTTTGAAGACTGTGTGATTACATTAAAAAAAAGCTGCTGCTGCTGCATAACTAAGGGATTGTTAGATACAGCATGCATTGAAAGCTACACTTGTGTAAATGTAAACCAAAGGTAAGAATATTTGACTAAGATTTGCAGAAGCTTGTCCACAGCTGAATGTGAGCAGACAGCCAATTACTGCAAATGAAAAGTAAAGTCTGACCAGGCAAACATCAGAAATGACAAAACACACATAAAACATTCTGTCAATCTGTCATAAAGACTTGTAAACTCTGTTGTCTCACCATTAAATCCAATGACACAGAAAGGAGACGAAGGACAGTGTCTGTTGTGCAACAATGCAGGAAGTTGGATTCATAATATGGTAATCATTGGAAATAATCAAAGGCAAGGCCGTCTTATATGAGACGCCTCGGGCTTATTTGATTCTGCAGAATAACACATTGCACTGAACTCATTAATCTTCAATTACGTTTATTTGCCATTTATTTTGTTCTCCTCCAGAGGCGGTGCTATCTACATTTATTTTGCAAATTATCATTCGCAGCACAAAGTCAATCCCATTTTTATCTGTTGGTCTTTGTTTCCAAGGACCGTAGAAGGACTTCCTCTTTCATCCTCTGGCTTTGCCTAAGGCTTCTCAAACCGATGTGGCTTCCTGCAGGGTTTCCCACGATTTCTCGGAACACTCAGAGGACAAAACCTACCTGGTATTAACCACAGACCTTAAAGACTGCAGAGGAGCGAAAAACGCAGACTAAAATCCATCTATGTTTGAACTAGGTAGAACCCTGTATGATCATAAATCATAATAACCTAATTTCAACTTAAAGTGGACCTATCATGCTATATTTGAATAATATAGTGTAGGACCATACCTATATAAGGAATATTTATACTTTTTAGTTTTCAAAATATCAAACAGATCATGCATTTTAGCCATTCCTCATTTCGCTCATTTTAACACTGCCTTTCATGCTCGGATTCTGTGAGAACAGCACCATCTGGTGGCCTGAAATATGTACTACAGCGTCTCGAACGGCAATGTCCGTGGCTGTCTCCTCCTGATTGGTGGAGTTGGCCCAATAGCCGTAGCGCCACTTCTGTGACGTCATAGAAGTGTTCAAATCTGGATCAGTCTGTATCAGATCCGTTGCAGCCCCTTTTTAAGAGATTTGGGTGTGGAGGAAAATAGAGAGGGTTGTGTTTTCTGACACTTGGTGAGTTCCCTGGAACACCGGGGACACATATTCATGTATAAAAGACGTACAAAAGTGCATTTTGCATGATAGGTCACCTTTAAAATAAATGTACCTGCACTATTAATATGTTTGCCACCTGGAAGTACCAAACAGTAACAACTCAATACAAATTAAACTATTGAATGTAAGTACACAAATGTTATACCCTTAAATAACATAACTTCCTCTTGTATGAGGGGATATATTTTCTACAAGCTACTGAATATTTTCTTGGGGTTTGTGTTACTACTGTATGTTTCGGAGAGACATTAATCTTCCGACTAGATGACGATGTCAGTCCAGGAGAGCAGGGCCGACCTTGAAAGTCAGTTTTCCTCTGATTAATTTTTAAAATGTCCCGCAGTCAGCAGAAAATATTTAAAATATCAACTGTGCTTTCGGCTTTGGATCGGTGTCTTGGGACATCATAACTTTATTCCATCAATGTTATCCAAATTCTAACCATTCAAACCAGTCTACCAATGAACCTAATGATGAGGAAAATATCCAAATAACTTTTCCTGTCTTTTGATTTCCCACAAGACATTTTGATAGCCCCTTAAGTACAACAATGCCCACTGAGACTTTGCTGAGTGAAGCAAAATGTGTAGGCAGGCTACTTCATAAGTGCAAACTAGAAAGCAGTAGGGCAGCAGAGCTCCACACTAATTATATGAAACGTCACATTTTTCCAACCATCATGGACAATTAGAAAAAGAAAGAAATGTGTAAGCAGAAGGATCAGGTATGGGAGGTAAAGTGGTAATTGGGATTGGCTGACACAGGCGCAGATAAACTGGGGTGTTTTCAGTAGGGGTCAGAGAGAAGGGCGCCTCGTTACAAACCTATGGTCTAGAGTGTCTATGTGTAGTGAATGTGCTGCCATGGCTACTCTGTATCATCCCCCAGTAGCCTGCCGCTCTCCAGATCAGTGGATAAGGAGGTGCCGGAGGAGGAGGTGGAGCCGCGGCGCTGGAACTGACGGGACTGCACCCCGTAAAAGAAACAGAAGGCCTGACCCGAGCATGCAAAGAAAGAAAAGGAATGGAAGAAAGAACACAAAAGAGATCAAATGATACATGTTAAAACAAGGACGAGGTGACAAAGAAAATAAAAAAGCAAAATAATAAATACACAAAAGCAAGGCAAAGTAAAATAAAGTTATCATGTGAATATTATTGCTTTCATAACAGTGTGGAAAGTGATAGCATTGTCCACAAAAAAAGATTGAACAATGAACAGATAGAAGATGCAACCCGAAACAGCAATTGAGTTTCAGGCATTAAATGGTACTAATGAGATGAATGATATGTGTTCATATATGTAAGACATATACAGTATATTGGCACATTCAATTAATGTAGTTGCTTTTAGTTTAAGAGCGGCCAAATCGACTGTTCAAAGTGTTGGACTGTCAGACACGGATTAGTCATAAATCCATCTTGTCACTTTCCTTTTGTTAACACTAGCAAGTGCAAATTGGATTTTGAGTGAATTAATATTGATGGAGCAAACACCATCCAGCAAGCACTTCCATAATTATAAAAAATATGAGACAAAGACAAACTAAGTCTCTAAACATTTTTGTGCAGAAATGTTATTTGTCTGACAATATTAACGGTTTTAAAGTTTCCGCACATCAGAGTGTTTAAATCCTGTCACCCCTAAGCCTCTTTGACCCCCCCGCCCCCCCTCACCTCCTCGATGTCTGCGTTCCTGCGAGCCTTGTAGATGAACTCTCCGATAGCCACGAACACAGAGAGCACCAGCCCAGCAGCCAGGACGATGAAGATGCCGCCGATGTTTTCCACGCCGAGAGCACTGGCTTCCTTGTTGTCCTCCTCTGGACATCCATTCCCCCTCCACCACTTCTCCTTCATCATATGCAGCTTCCCTTCCTCCTGCAGCTGGAGGATGGCAATGGTCACTTTATCCCTGTATGGGGACCCTGGAGAAGGCACAAAGAGAGAATGAAGGGACAGAGCATAAACAATGATTTAAAATTGCCCTCGAGCAGCCCTTTGTTTAAATTGTTCAAAAGAAACAAAAAGTATTTTCTACTGTGACCTTTTACTACAAGATCAGAGTATACGGTCAGACAGGAAAAATGCATCTTCTTGTATCTTGAGGATACAAAAGTCCAATATGCATTTGTAATGTTTATTGTTATTCAAGAGGCATTTTGAGTAACATCACAAGCTTCAAGCAGACCAGCGATCAGAAGACTGCAGGAGACATGGATAGAGACATGGAGTTAAGGTATTAAACCACAGTTTCTGTACTGTGGAGAAACAGCATCACAAACAACTATAGAAGTGATTTGGTAACAAAAGAAGGAAAATCAAGCCATTTTGGATCCCGTGCACTTTCCCTATCGGCTAGATTTTGGATTTGTGGTTTAGTTTTAATGCCATATCACCTGCCATGCTCTGGACTTCACCAATGAACGCTTACATGTAGGTAGATGTTTCTCTTAGTCATCCAAGTTGTACGCCCTAATATGTTGCTGGAACATGAAACATGTCTTCCTTCTTCCACCATCATAGAGACACATGATGTGGGCTGGACGACCTGCAGCTGGATGAGCGAGCCAAGTTAGTGTTTTTGGAATAGCATCTGGTATTTTTGCCATCTGCAGTTCTACGCTCACGCTGCATATCCTCTGTGGTGGCCATCATTATATCTGAGACAGTGGTGTTCAAGGTGAGAGCAGCAGACAGCCATCCTCTCTACACACACATCAGGAAGGTTGGCTTGCTGGTGTGGGTGAAACTTGGGTCTCCTGTGGAGGTGAATCAAACTGAATAATTGGCATGCCTCCTTCAAGTCTGCTTGAAGTCTACAGGTAGTGTTGGAGGTTGTTTCTGAGGGCTACAAACTTTACAACCCCTTCCCCTGCTGCTTGGAGGAGAGCCTGCAACCTTTGAACTTTGGCTCTTGCTTATCATAGCATTTCACACGAGTAACATTTCGTAATGATTGTGCTTACACTGCACCTTGATCTAGTGTATGTTGTAATAGTAATACTGTAAAAGTATCCCTTTATGATTCCATCTCTTATCTAAGAATAGAGCTGAAGAGGCTTTAATTAATAATTTACGGTATATCATTTTCATAGATACTGACAGCCAGCCAACATCTCATGGTGATGACACAAATGTATTGTAATTTTGTTTTGCCCCTACATATAAATGTATTCCCTGTACTTGCCAGCTTATGCAGGTGTGGAGAATATTCTTGGCTGACAAGTTGTGCTCAGGAACTACCACAGTTTAAAAGGAATATTTTAACTAGGGCTACATTTTTTTAAACATCTCAAGAGGAAAAGAGAAAAACACAAGATGTTAAGCACTGCTAAAGTAAATATCCGCATGCAAACACGGTCCAGAAGGTTGACTTGCTTCCAGTTTAAGTTTTCACGCCAAAATACTGGCCTCAAACCTCACATGGGCATTTGCAGTGATCGGTTGGCAGAGTTTAGGGATGGAAGGACATTTGCATGTGGAAAATACAGCACAGAAAGGTTGCACTTTAAAAATGAAAATGCAAATTGGAGACACACTGAGTAAGAGTTAAAAGCATCAATTTGCAGAGATTCTAGGAAATTATCTTCCATCAACCAAACATTTTAAAAGGCCTTTCATTTTTTTACATTTTCAGAGTTATGAATGTGATTTATGTACAGTATATACTTTTCCATGGCTTGTTGGAACTATCTAGATGTAAGCAGTCCACTATAAAGAACAAGCAATGAAGGCCAGCGAGTGTTGCTGATTTAAAATAACTCATGTTGGGCTCATATAAATAAATGAGGTTTTCCTTCAAAAACATCCTTTTCCTACATTACAATATTCCTTCTTCTATACATGTTCTTACCTATAGGGGTTCCCACTCCGTAGCCCTTGGAGTCGATGAGACCTCCGATCTGTGTGAGGTTACAGTTTCTCTGGCTGATGTACTCGATGCTGGTGGACTCCATCAACATGGCGTAGTCGGTGGTCAGGACCCGGGTGATGCCTTCTTTGTTGTTCTTAACCAATGCAGTGTTCTTCCTGCTGCTCATAAACGCCCACATCTTCTCATAGGTGGAGATCTTAGATTTCTGCCAAAGGAGCCAAACACGCCAAAGTTGTTAAGAAGTGTAATATTTATTTTCTTTATGTGTGTTTGTGGCAGCCCAAATACACTATACATGTACTAAACTATATATCAAAAACTATTATTAATAATAATACACTTTATTTGTATGGCACCTTTCATGCACAAAGCAGCCCTAACAAAGCCCTTACAGAGCAAGATAAAACATCCACAGTGATCCTAATACAATTCCCTTGAATTAAAGCTGACAATAAATTAAAATAGGTTAAAATTAAACAATTAAAAAAAAAGTAGTATCGTATTTTACCGTAGTATTGTAAAATTACATACAAGTTAGGGGGATGAGCAGCACTCTATCTTTGAGTGTGCTTTTGTGTGTGTGTGTGTGTGTGTGTGTGTGTGTGTGTGTGTGTGTGTGTGTGTGTGTGTGTTTCTCTCCTTGCTCAGTCAGAGAAAATGGGACAGCTGTGTACTAAATCTCCTCCAGCTGATTCAATTTGTTCGAGCCATCAACACAGCCTGCTTCTTTCTATCCAGGCAGCCGTAATCACTGGCTGCAATCTGGGAGGATAAAGCGCTGCATGGATCACCCCCGCTGAGCCATCAGGAAGCTGGGGCGNGGGAGGAAGTGACAGTCCTGCCTGAGGACTCTCGATTGAGTGAAACATTATATAATACAAACTAACAAGTGAACATATGTTAAACTACAACACCCCAAAATGCAGACATAAGTAGTCTTAATAGGCATCATTTCCACTTCCCATCAAACATCTCAATGCATCAAACTTGCTTTAATTACACCAAATGCAAATATTTGTTCTCTCTGCCTTTCAGATGTGTTCTTTTCCCTGGGATAATTGGCTGGGATACAGGATGATGTACTGTAGTTGAGAAACTGAGGAAACCCTCACGAGTCTGATTATATGGAAGTGAAGGTACTGTACCGCTGCTTCATAAAGTAGGACAAGGCTAACAGAATATAAACTGTTTTGGGAATTCATCCAACTGCAAAGACATGAGCAAACTTTAATAAGAACATTGTCTCCAGTTGTTGTTATTTGGAACTAACCTGCGAAATTTGCTGATAATTAAAAGTCTCAAAGTAACATTTATTTTATTTTATTCCTACATTTGGGTCTAATTTAAAAATGTATTTTTGCAAATCAATAAAGACAGATGATGGATGAACTGTGTTTTGGATGTTTATAGTTTTACTAAAATACTCAAATGTATTGAAGAAGGCAATATTCCAAACACGGATTACATGAATTTAAATCAGGGAGTTTAACACATGAGGGCTTTTTATGACGTCTGCTGAAGTTGTTTTCTTTAAAGATTATATTTTTGGCATGTTTACTTTGCGGACAGTTTGAGAGTGAGTAGGTAGACAGAAGGGAGTGTGCCATGCATGCAATACTTCTGCAATGTGTATAATGTAGTGTTAGGGGATATACGACTTGACATGAACTTTTTTTTTAAAACAGGCTGTGAAAGTTAACAAGCTCATTTAGAGCCCTTTGCACCTTGAAGAAGGTCATGGTTGATCCGTCTCTCACCGCCCCGTACTCGATCCTGGTCTGCTTCGCCAGGTCGTCTGCCGAGTCGATCGGAGCGTCCATTCGCTCCACCGTCAGGAACGCAGCCAAGTTGGCCGTGTAGGAGGAAATGATGATTAAGGTAAAGAACCACCAGATACCCCCGACTATACGAGTGGACAGAGCCTTGGGCATTAGCTCCGAGCCTGGAAAGGGACAAATTAAAAATAAAAGCACCGGTAGCTTAAATTGGATTTTCAACTGAACCCTAAATGATAAATTGTGCAGCTCTTCATACAGTATGTTATGTTTTCACACTGCACTAAAAAAACAAATAGATCACTGTGAACAAAAAAACATAATAGAACAAAATGGTAAGCTTAGATAAAGTAAATGTCACACAGATACTAAAAATGAGGGAACACAACATGCCCAAAACGTAATGAAACATCAAACTGTAGAAGCAGAATGAGCACTGTTCTTTATCTATTCCTGTCTGTGCAGAGAAAAGAGGAAATGAAAACACATAAATGTGATGGAAGAATACACTCTGGATGTTTTCTTAACAACACTTTTAGAGTCAAATCTTTTCTGGAGGCTTGGTTTAAGTGCCATGTATCTAAGGAAGCAGTCACTTTCAGGCACAGCGTCCCACAAACAGCCCAAGGCTTCCATTAACCAGCAAGCAGCAAGGTTACACACACATAGGCAACAGAAATAAACCATAACGTAAAAGCATCTCTGCCTTTAATAAAACTTGTTCTTCGCTCCTTTTATCACTACCGTTGCATTTCTGAAGCAGAATCACAACATTTAATCTGCATCCCCGTGTTATTGTGGACCGCTGCTGTGAAGTCAGTTTGTTGGCTGTCCAATCGAGCACGTCGGATTTATCCTGCTCAAATCTCCAGCCTAGAGGGAGGTCAAGTCCCCATGAAGTGCAACATGATTGGTATCACAGGGCATGGTTGCAATTAATGCGGCACTGGATCCGGGCTATGTGGAAAGCGCATTCGCCGCAAAAAGGAGGCAAATATTGATGTTTTGAATTAAACAGCTTAGAGGAGAGTTGAAAGTGTCAGAACAGTAATGGCTGTGCAGGGAGCTCAGACAGATCTACAGTCATTGTTCAGCCTTTGCTATTCATAAATGTTGTGTTTCTGACAACCTGAAAAAAGTAAGTCCATATTCAATCTCCTTTTAGCCTTAATGTGGTCTGGATAGATCTGTTATTTAGCTGTTATTTTAGCAGCTAAATAAATCAAATCAAACTTTGTGTACGTAGCATTTTTCATGCAAGCGCTTCACAAACCAAACACATAGACAATTTACAGATGAATTGTTTATACTTTAGATCTGTTTAAGGAACTGCCTGCAATACTTTACTATGTTCAGCAGCTTGTGACTTATTCTGTCTCTCTGCAGTTTGATATCAGGTTAGCCAGCGCACAGATGCTTTTATCAAAGCTTTTCAGCTAAATACAGCTGCCTGGTGCAACTGTAAAAAGCTGACGAGAGTTAACCGGAAAAATCTAGACAGGGAAGTTGTCAGCACAAAAAAACAAATTAACTTGAAAAAAATAAGATTATTCCTGACCCATGCTTTAAGTAGGAGCACCCAGGACTGGTATGTAATAAGAAAAAGCAGCACCAGTTGTTTCAGCTGTGTATGAACATTTTCAATTTCATACGACAATCCGAAAGCGTCATTTTAATTTGGAGAATATCTTGTAGCAAGCCCTTTCACACAGAAGTAGCCCTTTGATCCATTCTTTGCATACAAATATTAGTTGTGATTGCTTCAACTGTAAGCTACCTTGCCGCATGAGAGCTCCAACGCCGAACCAGAAACTGTTGAGTAAAGTGAAGTTGTTCTGTATGAGAGTGGAGGACGGGTTGCATGGATGTGGGTTGTACCATTCGTACGGAGTAAACCTGCGAGACAATAACGGAAAAAATAAAAATAAAGTCAATTTCAATGTTCATAGCAAGATCCTAAACAGGAACATGCAAAACCCCCTCTACAAATCTCCACACACAAACTTAACTTTAATGCAGGCTTTCAGTGTTTCTCTAGTGCAATGAACACTTTACCCTGGTTGGCATTTGGCATTTATAAAAAAGATATATCCATTAAGGGTTTCAAAGAGCAACCTGCTGGAGGTTTGTTTTTTTCACAGAAGCTACTGTAAGAGGGAGCTGAAGAGAGAGCTAGCAATGACTCCCTGCTAGCACAATGAAAACCAATGTAACGGTTGACAGCCAAAACTAATTCTGGGTTATTTTAGAATAACTTTAGAATATTGGACATCTTCTGAATTACAGTCATGCCATTATTCCACGATTTGAGATTCTTGCCTTGTGAATAAGAGCTGTGACAAAAAGCAAAGTGCTGACACCATCTCACTGCTTTCTTATCTGTAGCCCTTTCAAAATCGTAACAAAAGAGCTTTTGGAAAAGCTGATCCTGGCTGTGGACCCCCCATTAAGCAGTCGCCCTCTATTCATCCTCCAGTATGCCCTCAGCAATCATTATATTCGTCCATCCCACTATACCATTTCAATCAATCTTCTTACCTGGCAATCACAAAAAGCACACAGCTAACTCCTGTGCAGGCTAGCAGCACGTACATCCAGATGTCTGGAGTGAGGGGATTCAGGAAGGAGAACACGCCCGGGTTGGTGCCGTTGGGTTTGCGGTACAAGATGCTGATCCCCAAGGTCATGAAGGGCTTGGAGAAGTCGATGCTTTTCTCTCTAACGTATGTGATGGTCAAGGGCGCCACTGCAAGGTCTGCGATCTAGAGAAGACAGAAGACAAACTAATATACCACAGAGAAAACAGATAGTCCTGGAGGAAGACATATGTAACCTCCAGGAAAATTGTTTTAATCAATTTAACACATTTCTGTGACTTTATATCACAGCGACACATACAACTTTTAAAACAATTAAATATAAGAATAAAACATAGCGATATAAGGAAAAAAGGAAGAGTAAAGAGGCTGTATACAACCATTAATGTCAGTACAACTATATATAAGGGTTATGTTATGTCCTAATCTTTGACTATGATCAACCTGTTATTTGTGATGTTCTTTCTCTACAGGCTAAGAAAATGTATTAATACTGATTGTACTCCCTTTGGATAATATCAATACAGCAACATGAAGCTTCCTGTCTAACAGGCTTTGTTTCCATCTGTGAACCTAATTATAGACTAATTGGTTGAATCCATGTTAATGCAGAATTTGTATACACATCACAACTCTGTAAGTGACTATTTGTTTAAGATTTTGTTCATGAAGACGGGGAGATTGAATTCATTTTTGATACACTACCACATTTTTCAACTTGCCTCGAGCAAATTAGTCATGAAGTACTGTAAAAGCAACTATGTACTTTTACGCAGGTTGAATTATTACATTATCGGATCACATCCTTTAGATGAAATTGACTTAACTGTTGTTGGGCCGAAATATAGTTGATTTTTCTCCAAAAACATTTGTTTAAATGCTGCCGTTTAACCGTATTACAACCATCATAATGATATATGTTTCTATTTTAAAAACAGATACTGTCCACTTTTGGATTATTCATTTTGGATTATTCATTATTTAATCCCACAACTTGATTCGCTATTGAAAATCTTTAAGTTGTTAATGACATTCAACACATGTTGGACCTAAAACTTTATTAGCAAAGGTAAAAATAGTTAAAAGAGACATTGCAATACCTCCATTGAAAAAGTAGGTCCCACCGTTGCTTAATTTTTACAAATGTGTCAGTCCACTCTTATAATTTGCTTAACTGCCTTCATACACACACTCAGTATTTAATTGGAGCAAAGATAGGTCATTTGCCAGAAAAGACAACAAATCCATTTAGTTGTGTGTTAACTCACATGGTCGATCAGCTCCCGGACCATCCCGTTCCACTCTCCCTTGTCATTCTGGGCGCCGTATTTCCCATCACCCACCAGTCTGACTTCGTAGGTGAACCCCAGGATGTTGGAGAGCTCTTTCAGAAGGTCCAAACAGTAACCCTCGTAACGTTCATTCCCGATCAGCTCCTTCTCCGACTTTCTCTGCATCACATATGGATTTTCCTTTGCAGCAAAAGAAAACAAGTATTTGACATGTTCATTATTATGATTAAAGGATTATCTGACAGCAGTTGATTGCAGAGCTGTTGACTTTTGGATGATTGGCAAAATGTCTGAAACATTTTGAAATACACATTCAGACTCTCCAGTAACTATTTTCCTCTCCTTAACACCACACCATCCGATGTTTCCCCCCCCCCCCTTCCCCTCAGATTATCCTCTGTTTAACCTTTCCTTTCCCTCACCAGTATCGATGGTGACAATAAGCGTCCCTGTTAGCCCAGGGAGTCCGTCACATTGTTATTCTTGTCCTCGGCTGGTCTTCTCCGTCAGGTTCATCCCTCCTGTACGACCTTCCACACAGCAATCTGGAAGGCAAACAGGGCTTGAATAATTGAGACACATTTTCTGCTTTGTATTAAGAAAAGTTAAGTTGTTCAGATGTTTGCTTAAAGATTTGAACGAGGAGAATGTGGGATTTATTGATGATTACAAAGGAAGGAAGCTGATTAATATCTCTGACATATGACAGTCTCTGCTAGCTTGACAGGAAACAAGAAACTGCTTCAATACTCCCTTCATATTCTGATCATATTTCATGGTTTGTCTAACAAGGATAAATGAAAAGAACGGTTACAAAGACATGACAATCCTGGCTCATGTTCATCCTTCTGCATCCATTCACTATCCTTCGCCATTTCCCTTTGCCCAGCTTTGCTTTGATGAGTTCTTGGCAAAGTTCTGAGTAACTCCATCCGAGTGAATCCATAGTGCATACGTATACAAATGGAGAAAGTAGAGGGGCTCCAAACTGAGCTGCTGGATTGTGTTAAGACGCAAACCAATATCATCCCTGTTGTATGCAGCCATTTTTCAGGTGCTGAACAATATCGTTCGGGGGCCTGAACTCACAAAGCTGGTTTTCCATAACAACAAATCTTTAATGATGAATAATTGCTTTGGATTTGCAACAGCATCTGTTAGCATTTATATTTCATTCTGGTTGAACCTGAAAAATATGAATATATTCCCAAATAGAAAACAGGTGTCTCTCACAAATAACGTTACGTTTTGTGTCTAACTTTCAACATTCAGTCAAATAATATTTGCCAAGTTGATGCGTGTGGAATATAATAAATATAATATAATAATAAGCCACTGAACACTGCCCCTCAGCCATCATCATAGACTATATGAAGTAATTAAATGCACACAATGTACAACAATATCTGTTTTTTAGTTTTTATTACTGCCGAATATTATTCCAAATTTTATTCCGAATTTATTCCATATTTATTCCATTCTATTCCTATGTAAAATACTGCCTATATTTTTTAATTATTTCTAAATATTTGTTTTATGTTATTTTGTATGTAGCACCATGGACATCAAGTCAAAATTCCTCGTACGTGTAAAACCTAACCTGGCAATAAACCTGTTTCTGATTCTGATAACTGAATTCATCCTAAATGTATTAACATTCGATCAGCAATACTTCCGGCTCTAGGACATTGAACAAAAAACATTTTGGATTATGTTTTGCGATTAGAGCAGCAGGGACAGGTTGGAATGATGAAGGGCAGATCAGAGAGCGTACGGGGGGGGGGGGGGGACCAGTGGCGTCTGTTCCTCCTGTCACAGAAGCTGTGAAACGAAGCGTCCGGTTCATCGGACCCAGGCGGTATAATCCCGACAGTTATCAGATTAGGACAGGCGTCTGGCAGTTGGATGCTGACCTTTTTTTTAAATCTCCCTCACTGTTAAAGGGCAGAGCCCAAAGGTCAAGGGGACTCGTGAAAAGGATGCAATACAGTTAATATGCATTAAATATACTACTTGGAACTAAAGCTCTTCTGCCTTTTGCTTTTCAGTCTGTGGAAGGAAAAAGTGATGAATGTTGAAAGCCAGAAACAATGGCTTGTTCATTCCCTGGAAAAAGATGATTAATCACGCATCAGTACCCTCTCTAATAAAAGCAGAAGGTTCAGTTTTATTTTTTCATAATATTTCGCCGATAAAGGGCTTATGTGCGAGTTTACCAATTGGAAAAGATAACGTGTTTTTCACCTCTCCCATTAAGTTCTGTCTCATTCTGTTCACCCCGGTCAGACAGACAGATGATGTGCTCACTTATTAACCTTGCTTAAAGGTACCTCTGTTTCTCCACTGTGGCACTTTGTGAGGTCCACTCTGTGCGGCGAGTCCCATAAATCTTGTCTTATCTCTAGACACTGCAGATGAGAAACACAGTGAATGGGGTTGGATAAATTAATTAATTGTATTGTCTTCAATCTCAAAGGAGAAATGGACCCATAGTTAGAAACCATAGTTTTTGCAATGAGGAGGGTAATATTGGCTCAAATGGTGCGGTGGCTGTAGATGTAGAGCCGCGTTATTATGGGAAACCATCATCCTCTATGAAATATCAACATACGAATTTAAAGTTAAGGTCTCCATATTATGCTATTTTTAGGCATATATTATGGGTCTCAGATAAATACAATATATAAAAAACATTTCTATGATGTGTTTTGCTGAAATACCAAACAGATCATTCATTTTAGACATCCCCTCATACCCCCTATTTCAGGCCTGTTAGAGAAGTGCAGGTTCGGGGTCCTTAGCCTGAAAAAAAAAAAAGAGGGGGGGGGTGCTAATGCCTGCCTTCAATTATAACGGAGAGATAAAGGTAATGCTGCAGTGATGAAACGCCCATATCATGGTTCCAAACACATCAAGGATTATTTCTGAAACAGTAATGAGAGCTCAAATGCTTTTTCCTCTTGCGGGTTTATCACAAGGTGAGTTCCTTTCTTTATTTCCCTGCTTTTTTAACACATACTCTCCAATACAGTTAGCTCTGAGTGTTAGCGATGCTAGCTAATGTAAACATGACCATATTACCGTCCATAAACAACGTCGCCCCATGGTTTCTGAGAGCAACTTTCTGATAGTGGAGTGGTTGTAAAGCCCAGCCCACCATACCCACACGATAATTACGTCATATCGGACGCAAATCTCGATCCGTTTCGTATGCCAGCACCGGTTTTTTTAGAGATGTGGGCGGAGAAAAGGAGAGGGTTTTGATTCAGACTACTTTGGGGAGTCACTGAAAACACATCATTAATGTATAGACTGTAATTCATATTTATGTATATCGGATTG